GGGAAAGAATCCTACCAGAAAGATGAAGGGATAGCTAGCTGCAAATAACAGAACCAAGAGCATCCGCGTAGGGGAAGTCAGCCCTTGCCTTGGCTTTCATCAGTAGCAGCTTCTCCTTTCTGTCAGGAAGGATAATATTTTCTTAGGAGTATAGTAATAACCAAAAAAACTACTTTTTCACTAGCTGACACCAACCTGGGATCCACTGCCATCAACTGGTCTATCCTTTAAAACTTTGATGTAAAATCAGTTTAAAAGTAGGTGATAAAAATAGGCATTCTTCTATTGAGAGGTAGAAAATAGAGTATGATCAGAAAGGAAATCAAAGGAAATCTTGATCAAGACAGATCTTTAATGAGGGTGACATTCAGCTCTGCAGAAGAGAGCTAATAGGCTATGTTTACTCATCAGTGCAGCTATTCCTCAGGTAGCTGCATTGGAATCAGTCCTCAAAAGCTGGAATTGTAGGCACACAGTGCTGTATGCCATCTGCACTCACCTAATAAGTCCATGTGGCCTTAGCATTTCAGTTCATCGCTACCTTGGAATCTCTGCACCACACTATTGTAAGGGTGAGATATTCTTACAGATAATCTAGGGAAGGTTGAAAGTGATGGAGGGAACTATTGCTAAGTATGAGTCATTCATGGGGCAGGGGCATTCCATGGCTGTGAACAGGATGGCTCAGATTAGATTAGCCCAGCACATAGCTGGATGCACTTTGTCTCTCATTAGGTTAAAAGCAATGAATTTTGGTGAGCTCAATCTGCTCACAGAGCAAGTACACTCACTGGCCGATGCCTTGATAGCACTACTTTGTGCAGTGCAGTGGCTTGGATCATACGTCATTCTTACACCAGCATTCCTGTCTAGCTAGCCTTGGTACTGGGTACTTTTACAAATCTCCCCTCTCCTTTGGTAAATTGTGCGTTATTGGATGCAGTTGCCCACTCATGTTAGCAAATGCATTCAGTGGCAAGCTGAACTTCTAAGATTTTATGTAGTTAAGTGTAATCCCAATGTGTTGTGCATTGCTTTTTTACCAAAGTGTTCATTAACCCAGTGGGGCATTAAACCCCTTACTTCCCTGTGATTTTTTTTCCTCTTTAGGAGAACATATTATTATACCACAAAGGCCAAGGTTCAGTTAAAGTTATTGACTTTGGATCAAGCTGCTATGAACACCAAAGAGGTTTGCAGAAAAGTCAAGTTGATGTAATTTTCTTAATAAGCTTTCTTAATCTTAAATAATGTGGAAAAGCTGTTTCTTAGACAGAGCTAATATAGTAGTCTATGCCTCTAATCAGAATCTGATGAACTGTTCGGCCATTGGTGGTGGTAGAAGATAAGTAAGCTATAATCATGTTTTTTCTTTGTGCTGAGCCTGTTCAGCATTTCTACTGCTGTTAAAATAGGAAGTGCACTTTACAAGGGTAGTTAGCTGAAATGGGACCAGAAGAGTACACTCAATGGCTTTGCTTCATGAAGAGCTTACAGGATCAGGATCAGGTCCAGAGATTCTTTCCATGTGGGATGGTTAAATTATAATTGGCATATTTTGTATGAATATAATGAAGTTAGTGATTGGGAATAGAAAGTTGCTACAAGTTTCGAGATTTGATTTCAATTTTTTTTTCAAAAATATAAGTAGAATATACAGGGGGTAACAAGAACAAAATTTGTAAGCGAGAAATTAATGTATAAAGCTGATCTAATAATAAATCTTAACACTAATAGACTGCTGTAACTCAAGTATGACATAATCATAAGGAGTGCAAATAGCACTTGAAAGAGCAGGAAATAATTCTGTACTGCATTTTATTAATTTAGAAAAATCACAACTAGTCTTAAATGGCTCATATTTTCCTACAAAAGCATGATATATAAGCCCAGGCAAACCCTTTAATCTATATTTTGGGATTCAGCCCATTAGATTCACATCCTAATTTGGACGGGGAGATAATAATTGTAGGCTTGCCCGTGTTTGAGTAGAATGTAATCTGAGATGCAACTTGAAATGTTTCCAGAGGGTAATCGTTGGAAACACAAAACGTTTGAGAGAAGAAGCTCTTGTGCCAAGAATGACAAAAACAAACAATTACGAAGTCAGTCAAATGCACAAGGTTGCAAGTTGCAGCCATGTACTCTTTACCTGCACAAATTTGATGAAATCATATATTGTGCAGCATTTACTTTTCAGGGCTTCCTGAAGGATGTTGAATATATGGGAATGCAAAGACGTGCAGAAACATACTGACCAGCAGAGCAATAGAAATAAAAAAAAAAAAAAAACATTAATTGCATGCTGTAATAATTTTCAGTTGTCTGAATGACAAGCAGTAAAAGGGTTAGTCTACTCACTGTAAAAGTTCTAATCTTGGATTGAGAACTTCTGACATCTTTTGTGGGCTGTAATGCATTAATGAGGGAATCAGAAGACAGTAGGAGATATTCCCTAGGTGTAAGTGAAGCCAGTGTTTCATATAGTGCAAGGCTGTGAAAATGAAGAATTGTCTACTGATTCAAGGGGAAGACCTTCAGATAAGAAAATTAACATGAGATAAGCTGAATGACAGTGTTTGAAGAAGAGCTTCTTGCAGTGAGATCTGCTGAAGAACAATTTCCACGTAAAATGATGGAAGGCATACCACTCACTGATGTTAGGATGGGATGAGGAAGGTTTCAGAGCCTATGCAAGGCAATCTGTTAATGGCAGCCGAGAGAGCATAGCTACATGATACCTGAACATGTATTTCACTTTTCTGTGAGAAATGAAATCTAAATTTCTGTCCTAGTGATAATATTTTGCTTCTTGTCCAATATTCTGTTTTGATGTAGTGTACACATATGTTCAGAGCCGGTTTTATCGCTCCCCTGAAGTGATTCTTGGTCATCCTTATGCTATGGCTGTTGATATGTGGAGCCTTGGCTGTATAATGGCTGAGCTTTACACAGGCTACCCACTGTTTCCAGGAGAAAATGAAGTTGACCAACTTGCCTGCATCATGGAGGTAACTTTTGGAATTTTTTGAATTACATAATCACTTGATTGACACTGCCAGCAACAAAGAGAAATCTCAAGAGATGATGAAATACATTTGGTGATAGGCTAGCCTTTTATAGGCAGTTTTATGACAGCCACAGAGCTCTATGAGAAGGATGAGGTCTAATGCAAAACTGTTATCTCCATTTTATGTGGCAAACATTGCTTTGTACAGTCACTGTCTTGCTTATGAAAGACACATATTTTAATCTGGCCAGAAGCTGTGCAGAGAAGTTAAGACAAAAGAAAAATACCTAAAGGGAAGAAAAAGCAATCTGAATTATGACAGGCTCTTCTTCTCTTAGAAATCAAAGAAACATTGATTGAACAGGATCTCTGGAAGTCTCTAGTCCAAACTCCTGCTCAGAGTGAGACTTTTGCTAACCCTTGATCAGTCAGCTATGCCTCTGTCTAGCCAAATCCTGAAAACCTCAAACTCTGGAGTTTCTGCCAGCTCTCTGGGTGACCTGACCCCATGCTGCTCTACCATCTTGGTGAAAAAGTTTTTCTTAATAGTCAACCTAAACTTCTCAAGCTGGATTTTGTGGCTATTGAGCCTTCTTATACTGACTGCACCCACCAAGGATTTTTACTTGATTATCTTTGTAACTGTTCTTCAAATTGTTTTAGAAATGTACGCGCACATATCCTGCCTCAGCTAACCTAGCCAGTATAAATGTTAGAACAGGTGCAAAGCTGAAACAGAAAGAAGTTATTTAGTTACTCCATACCAATCACTAAATTGCAATCTGATATTGAACTCACCTCAGAGTTCTAATCCTTCCAGTGTCATGTTAGTTTGTGCAAGATTTTTTCAGAGATAGCATCTCTCCCTGCTGCCTTCTACAATATCTGGCATTAATAGAGATGTTGGTTCTTAGAATAACCATGGTAGTGAAGTTCGCACTGTCATCCCTTATCTTATGTGGCATTATACATGACAAAATAAAAAATGATTTGTAGACATTTCACAGTAAATTGACACATATCAGCTTCTTTTCAAACAGAGGAGGGTGAAATACCACATCTGTCCTGACAGCTGTTAGAAATGAAATGAGGAGTAACTCCATGTATTTTTTTGGTTTTTTTTATGTTGAAGGTATTGGGTCTTCCGCCAGTTGATTTTATCGAGGCTGCATCAAGAAGGCAAACATTCTTTGGTAACTGCCTGTGATTATTTTTCCTTACTGGATTTCTCTCTGTTAGTTAGTCATTGGCATTGGTAGAGCATAGAATTAGAAGAACCTTAACTGCTTCTTAAGTGACAAAACCTTAGGAAGAGGTATTCATGAGAACCTAATGGGGTAACATGAGGCCTACAAATGTACCTGGTGATGTGCTCTTCATGTTTTATGGGCCTGTCATTGCCAGCGTGATAGGGAAGGGACTGGGAAATCCATTCCATTGTTACTTCTAAAAAAAATGTTGCAGCCAAAGAGAATGCAGGGGGTTTGGGGAAACTGATTTAGATTAAATTCACTCTCCTGGATATGATCTGCTTTTGGAAAATATACAAAATAAGCCAAAAACACAAAGTAGTATGCAACCTCTAGGATGTTACCAGCATTATTTGCCACACTGCTGGCAGATTATCTGCCCAAGAAGTCAAACCCTGAGCTAGTGGAAAGGATGTGATGGTACTGTTTTTGATACTCTCTTAAAGTTTTGGTCAGGGTTCTTAATATAATTTTTTTCTGAGCATGTCTTTATTTTTTAAGATTCCAAAGGTTTACCTAGATCTATAACCAACAGCAAGGGGAAAAAGAGATGCCCAGACTCCAAAGATCTAAGCACATTGTTGAAAACCCATGATGCTGCTTTCCTGGACTTTCTAAAAGGATGTCTAATGTGAGTTCATAGCTTTGACCTATATACAGGAGATTGATTGGACTTTACTTTCTTTCTCTTGTGCCTTCAACATCTTTGTATCTGTTTTTTGTTTGTTTGTCTCTTTACTTTTTCTCCCTGTAGTAATTGGATAGGTATTGTTATTCTTCCCAGCTTACTTCAGGAAAAAATTGATGACTGTAAGAAAAGACTGTAAGGAATTAGTCCAAGCTACAGAGGAAGTCTGGAACATTCATCTATAAAAGCAGATCTTCTTCTTCTGATACTAGCCACTAAACTCTCAAAGCAACCTTATTTATGCATTAAGGCCCTCATGTTTAATCCCTTCTATCTTTTCTAAGATAAAGGTTTGTTTGGATAACACAGATAATGGTAATATATTGTCCCAAGATGGCGCATATCTGGAGATCAAAGTTTGATTTTGTACTTAAATTTAATTCCCACTTCAGTGGGAAGGCCTGCAATCAGGTGATATGCCATGGTATATATATGAAAATAGTTCTGCTTCTTTGTATATCTGTTCACAAAGGCCTTGCTCTCAGTGTGCATGTTCTTTTGGGTGAGTTTAGAATCTTTTAAGTCCCAATATGCCATATACTTCCCCCCGCTGCAGAGCATAAAAGAGCAAAGTACGTTCAGCCATGTCTCCTTTCCAGACCCACTGTTGGTATTTGCTATTTCTTTGTAACTGTGGTAGTTAGCATGGAGGATTACTCAGCACAGTTATTAGAGTATTAACTTTTAGCTAGCATACTGATTTAAGCCTTTTTTCTTCTTACTATATTTATACTTATTTTTCATTGACAGCAGTCAGCTGTTAGCCTGGGACACGTTTCAATGTTGTTCATATAACTGTACATTTTATGAATTATACAGCTTAGCATTTCTTTGTTTAACTTTTGTTGAAGAGAGTATTGTTGACTGGTGTTTTTATTCATGTTTCATATACCTGCTAACCTGTTAAACCAAGTGATCCGCTTGCACTTGCTGTATCGGCCCACAGAGAAAGGACGGTGTCGTTAGCATATTGATTGCAATCCTTGGTTCCTTAGTGAAATCCTTTTTTGTTCTTATACTTGTGGAGGAAAGGAGAGGTAGCTTTATGGAAAATAACTCCGAGTCCTTTTTGTCTTAGACCTGTCCCTCTTGCTGCACCCTTTGGACCTTCTTGAACATCTTCTAAGTGATAGGCATCTTAAAATGTAATTTTACAGGAGCACTCCTCCTTATGGTCACGAAGAAGAGATGCTGGGCAACTCTGAATTTAATCCTACAGGAACCACAACACTCAATCTCTAGGGGCAGATCCAGCCCTCATAAGGGGGGAAAGGGCAGCTGTGTCACAGGACTGAAATGATGTGCCCCACATTGACTGGTGCTCATGGAAGGGTTTCTAGCCTGCTTGCCTTCTCCTTCACCCTCTAGTAAATAAGTTCTTGAATTTTTCCTACTGAAAAATTGCCAATTTTCTTGTCTTCACCTACATGGAAAGTACTGGACTGTTCTAGCCATTTAGCTAGCCATATCCTAATTATTACTGTGAAAACTGTCTCAGAGGTTGGGAGGCAGGGACACATGTGCCTGAAAACAGGCATAGTCAGGAGTCAGATACCTCTACATTGCTTTTTTAAAAAGAATCCACCTGTCAGGGCCCTGAGCACATTCCCCACCCCTTCCTTCTCGGGTTTTAGTTGCCTGGACTCAGATCGAACTTTGACAGTGCAGCTGTGCAACCTTGAATCAGTAAGCTGTATGAGAAAGCTGTGGGAAGCAGAGGCCTGGCTCTTCCTTCATTCAAGAGCTGCTCTTAAGCTGAGACTGTCATCTCAAATCCTCGGTTGAGCTATGTTGCAGCTATGCCTGTGCTTAACCATGTGTCTCACTGATGCAGATCCTATCCTTAACCTGCTGACTTGATGTTCTGGCTTGACTTTGTACGTTCCTCATCACTATGGACTTGACTGGTGATCTGGACTGTCGGCTGATCATGGTTACTGTCACTGGACCTACTCTGCTGTCCTTGCTCGGGTACTGTGGGACTGTGCCCTTGTTCATGAGATCACTGTCCTGCCTCCCTTGCTACAAGACGTGGCTCCTGGCTTGCCTTCTCTTTTTGGAGCTGAGTATGAACTACAGTACGGGCAGAACAGGGTATATATCCTCTATGCACTTTTGTTTCCTCATCATTAAACTGAGAAGAGTATATATTTACTTCACTGGTTGAAGAACAGAGACAAACCTGTAGGCCCTCTGCAAATGCTACCAACTGCGTATTATGTCGGGCTGGCATTAAATATTCACTGCTGAGCAACCAATCATTTAGTCTCAGGCAGATATGGAAATAAGACTTTTATTTCCATGTTAACTCTTTTTCTCTTCAAAGCTTTTCCTCTTGCTCTTTCCTGTCATTTCTCTTCCCTACTCACTGCCCTCCTTTTCCTGTCACCAAAAATAACATCAGTGGCAAAAAAAGAATCGTCTGCTTTCAGAAGCATTGTGCATTTCAAGAATTATATAGTATATTTTTCCTTTCTCTTGACTGGAATAGATTCTTATAAATCAGTGGAGTTCAGAAATCTAAGAAGAGTGTAATATATCTCAGAGCCTGCTCATTTCTGGGATAAAATGTTGACTACTCAAGTCAACAAGAATTTTGCCACTGGATGTTTAATATGGCAAGCGCTCTACAGATATTTTCTTGAAGCAAATTGGTGATTCAATATTTTTGAAGACTGGTAAATGCAAATAACATGAAATGGGCAACAATCTACATAGAAGGTAGAAATTAGACAGATTCTCTATAACAGGAACTCTTTACACAGTGTCAAAGAATAACTCAGGTTGGAAGAGACCTCTGGAGGTCGTCTGGTCCAGCCACCCCCACTGAAAGCAGAGCAAACTTAGAGCAGGTTGCTCAGGGCCTTGTCAGGTTGTGAATATCTCCAGAAATGCAGACTCCACGCCCTCCCTGGGCACCTACTCCAATATTAACCCCGCTCAGGGTGAAAACATTTTTCTTGATGTCTAATCAGCTTTTTCTGTGTTGTGACTTGTATCCATTATGTACCTATCCATTTTGTCCTGTGACCATGCACCTTAGAGAAGAACCTGGCTCTGTTTTCTCTGCATCCTCCTGTCAGGCAACTGTAGAGAGCAGTAAGAGCTCCTCTGAAGCTTTCTCTTTTCCAAGCTGAACAAGCACATTTCCCTCAGCCTCTCCTTATACATCATGTGCTCCAGGCCCCTGACCATCCCCTGACCTCTCCCCTAGACTCACTCTGGTTTGTCAATGTCTTTCTTGTCCTAGGGAACCCCAAACTGGACGCAGTTCTCCCAGCGTGGTCTCAAAAGCGCTGAACAGAGCGGGAGAATCCCTTCCCTCTTCCTGCTAGTTATCATCTTGCTAAATACAGCCCAGGATGTGTTTGGCCGCCTTTGCTGCAAGGGCGCGCTGCTGACTCACGTTCAGGTTTTCGTCCATGAGGACTGCTAGGTCTTTTTCTACAGAGCCGCTTTCTTTCAGTTGTCTCCCAGCTTGTCCTGTTGCATGGGGGTGTTCTTTTCCAGGTGCAGGAGTTTGCATTTGTCTTTGTTCAGCTTCCTGAGGTACTTGTTAGCCCATTTCCCCAGCCCATTGATCCTGATGTGAAGGACCTCTGTGGATAGTAGCCCTACTCTGCCCTCTGTAGGGGAATAGTAGAGCCCTACTCTGTATTGCTTGCTCTCCCTAAATTTGGTATAGTCCTCAAACAGGCTGAGGATGCTTTTCAACTCATCATCCAGGTCACAGTGATATTAAACTCTAGGAGCCCTACTATCAGCCCCTGAGGAATGCAACTACAATCAGCCACCACATGCCACTTGAACTCCATATGATTGATCACAACCCTTGTAGACTGGACTCTCTTTCTTCCTACTTGTGTGGTGCCCACAGTGTGAGAGACACTTTACAAAAGTGAAAATCCATCAGCAAGTATAAGGACTGTCTTTTTTTGTTTGTTTTCTTTCTGGAAAAATAAGTATGCATTCATAAGGAAATTAAAATGCTATGCTTGAGGTTTCGGCCTGCCACCGGCATATCATCTATCATCACAAAGTAAATGTGACTTGTTTATAAATGAACTGGTGCAGGAGAAGCAGAATTTTATCTGATTTCTCAAAACTGATCATGTGTCTCTGCAGGGAGGTCAGTTTGCTATGTATTTTACAGGATGGAACTTCATGTACGTTGCTCGTATGAGGTGTTATTTTCTGAATATGTGTCTTTTATCTTGGGAAAGGGTTACTAGTGGGTTTTACTTATCCAGCAAACTAAAAGCCTGAGAGCGCAGAAACAGATTTTTGTCTGGCTGCCTTAAATACTGACTTTTTACATAGGTGGACCTATGCCTATGCCCAGCCTTCAGCTGGGGAGCTTGTCTTCTAATTTGTACTGTGTAATGGCAGCAGAAGCTGGTCCCATGCCTTTTTCCAATGTTACCTGTACTTTTTATAAGTGTAAAATTTTGTACCTTATTTACCACTAACTGTGAGATTCTTGCTAGCACTTATTACTTTCCTAAAGAAATATGAGCAAACTTCTGTTTACATGAAAAAAGAATCCATCTCTTTTTCACAAGAAGGTTGCTTTTAATATTCCTCCTTACTTGTTAAAGTTGTATGAATCATTGATTCATTTTGGATTGCTGACTGAATCAGAATATTTAAAAAATAGTCTCAGTGAAGCAAAAAAGCTCCAGTATATAGAAGTCATTTCAGGTCACACAGAAAACAGTATTATATGTTGGTGGTTTTTTAATTTTCAAGGGAATAAAGCAAGATTTGAAATGAAAACTCATTTTGAGATAAAAAAAATTTTGAACTGTTTTGCCTTTTTCATTTCCCAATTCAGTTCCAGCTTGTTCATCCAAAGTAGCTTGATACATTTGTCATGACTTCATAAATAGTTTTGATCAACTTGAATATACATGTTTTGCAGATGAAAACATTAGACAGAAAAAAAATGCTTCACTCAGTTCTTGTGGTGGCAGAAGTATCTCTCTTTTTAACTCTATTTCTGTACAGTTCCAGACAACATTGATACTAGACAAATCAGAATGAGCTACTCTGCAGTTAATGTAGAGATTTGTAACAGAAGTATTAGGACTGGTATGCATGCAGTACGAGTGGAAATGTATATGTGTGTTAGCACTGGGAGAAACAGCAGAAGAAGGTTTGAAAGAATGCCCTGAACTGATAACGAAGGACACTGTTCTCAGTACTCTACTCCCACCAGTAGAACTGAGGAATGTGGTGTTTATGTTGTGAACCAGAAAACCGGCACCCTGATAAGACCACAGCTCAGATGACCCATCAGCGAAAATCTGCAAGCTCCCAGCAGCAGAATATCACATATGCCATTCCTTGTTCCTGTCATCCTCAAAGGAAAACAGGCATATCTTCCAAACATACAAGAAAGAACAGACCATGAGCAGGTACCTTGCCTAAAGATTTATGGAAACTGAAGTCAGCAAGGTTCTAAGGTAAAGGAACATGCCCAAATAGCTGATAACTCTTTAGGGATATAAAAGATCTATCCAAAGACTATTTCATCATCACCAATCAAGAAGAAACATAGAGATGTGATGTGAACTCAGTAGCTCACATCCCTTGTCCTTGAGGTCACACACAAGTGATCTTGGCCTGAACGCTTGGTACTTGTGAGTATATGGGTGTGAGAACTGAGTGAATGAAATCTCTGAGAGGACTGTGAGTGAATAAAATCAGTTTAGAGATTTTGTAAATAAATATCACCTTCCCCTTCCATAATAAGATTGCACAATGAATGTTATTACACTGATTCTCTGCATTAGTCTCAGGTGCAGCTAAATTAGGGAAGATTTTTCTTCTATTGAATTCTGTCTCATTTGTGTCCCCTTTCTAGGAGCTAGTATTGACAGAATTTGGAAATCTTAAAACATATATAGAGAGACGCTAATAACACTGTGAACTGCATGTGTTTTCCTTTAAAAATGGCTTTATGCTGCAGAGGATTTGATCAGCTGTGCATGGAGTGCTGAACTGGATAGAAAATGTTAGCAAATAGAAGTATGAAGAATAGCATGGAAATTTTTTCTTTGTTTTTTGTTAGAATTCTTTTGTTTCAGAAAATGTCCTCATGACATGACTTCCAGGTGACCGGAGGGTGTGTTTTGGATGTTAGTTTTTAAACTATCTTTCAACTGCAGCTACTGTGGAATAACTATCTACTGTGGATTTAAGGTGGAAACCTGCCCTGCGTATGACTCCAGATGAAGCAATGAAGCATGCATGGATTCAGGAACCAAATGCATTCAGAGCAACACAGAAAACACAGATCTCAAGGAAGATGAATGATGGTTCTTTCTTTACACCAGAAAAGAGAAAAGAGAATATTTGTAAGCATGTGCCAACTGGAGAACTATGTCCTTTTATATCAATGTTTGGTATTTCTTTGTGTTTAACAGTATTTGTCTGAAGTGAGGTGAGGTGATGGATAAACAGTATGTAGATAATGGATCCTGGTGGACAGGGCCACTATTTCTCACCTAATGCTTATGTCATGTAATGGCTGCCAAAAAGAAGACTGACAGTAGTAAAGGTTCACATAGAAAGAGCTTTTCTCTGTTTGTTGCAAAATAAGCAGGTATGGTATCTGATACTAGATCATGGTGCACTTTGCTTTTAGACAGAAGAATGCATTGATGGGATCCTAGAGAAAATAATTAACCGATATTTTGTGAGTTTGTGGTGATGATTTGTTTACCGGCTGTGGACAGTTTGTAGTCTCACACTATCTTTTTTTTTTTTTTTCAGTAGAAAATATCTGTCAAGACACTGTTGATGAAGCAAAAAATGAACTGCCTGAAAGACTGACTCCCACTATGCCCTCCACAGGCTCAATAGAAAATGAAGTGCAGAACACAAGGAAACCTGTTATTCCAGAGAAACAATTGAAGACCCAGGTGGAAAAGGGTATCAAAAAAAGTCAAGCAGAACACAGTGGTGAAAGAGCTCTTCAGAAAAATTCTTTTTTTTTCCCACTAATTAAGTAATATTTAATACAAGCAATGATTGGTTCAGCCCCATACCTAGCATATTTTGTAGGTATGTACGCAGGAATATTACTTTAAGCTGCATCTCTATATATATGGGCTGCATATATTGTAGATACTCTTAATGTTCTTTTTACCCTGAAACAGTCCAAGCAGAAACAAAATGTGAAAAACATTCTTTTTCCTCACTAACATCTTTGCTATGATCAGAGATCCTTCATAGCTAGCAGCACTATTGCTAATAAATTGGAGAGTGCAGAGGTGGAGAGCAGCTTATACTTAATATTATAATAGACTTTTGAATTTAAGGGTTTTTGCTTCCTGGAGCTAACCAAACAAATACATTGATCAAAGAATCTGAATCCTTTCACTTATATCATCATAAATCAGGAAGAATTCACAGATAGGATTACTGGTTTACTTTTGTATAAATAGTAAAAGAAATCAAACTCAGCATCTCCATCTTCCTCCCTTTCTCCCTCTCTCTGAATGAAGCACTAGATGGAAGCCATTGGCATCTCTTCTTAGTAGACTTAGAAATGTATATTATGTTCTTTAGCTCTTTAGCAGCTACAAAGAGGAATCATATTCTGTGCCTACTTCTGCAGGGAACCCACTCTGTATTCATATCAACAAAAAGGATGGATTTCAGCGAATTTTAATTCAAGTAAATTGTCCTCCATATGGAGTTTTAGTTAATGCTCTGGAAGGACAGTTTTCTATGACTCCTGAGCAGAGTCATAATTAATTTAAATATTAAGCTCATTGGACAATTTAAACATTAAGTTCTTTTCTTTGCATTTATAAAGTACCCATTTCATTATGACTCTTATCCTTTACTGTGGTGTACAGATAGTACTGAAATTTTTTTGAAAAGGAAATTGTCGTAGAGACTAAGTAATTGTAGGTGTCAAGAGTCACCATAACAGCAAGTTCCCACAGGTGCTATTTGCAAAGGAAAAATCCGCAGGACATGAGAACTCTCATAACACAGCTCTTGCATTCAAATGAGTTAACAAGCCATCTGGTAGGGTACAGAGGTGACTCCATGACAAAAGGCCTACTGCAGTGTGCTTTCCTACTGAGAACAAAGTTAATAGTAAGAGTGATCTCAGAAGAACTGGAGCACAGAAAACAGTCTGCAAGATACAGTGTGATCATTCTGTTGGTTTCAGGCAAGTCCCGAGACTCATGAAGAATCATCTGGAAGACAGGTAACCCAAGCAGGGCAATAGCCCATTACTGAATGTAATTGAGCAGTGAATTATAGAAGTATTTTGGCAGACAAATATCATCCTTGTGTGATAAAGCCATCGCTGACAGGCTGCTCAGCTTGCAGTACCAGAATGTCTGTACCTCTGGCTTCAAACACACTCCTTTGCAGTTCAGCCATCCTCGAGACTACAAAAAGCTCCCATATTGACCAGAGTGATGTGCTAGGAGATATGAGTTCTCTTGTGCATCACATTTCTTTCATTACATAGACTATCCAGGGCAGGTGAACATCTTGCAGAACATAGCGATGAAGATGTGGGCAGAGTCTCATAATGTTTCACAGAGAAGGAGTTCCACCACGATGAGAGCTGAACGATTCATAGTTTGTTACACAGAGTATTCAGATAAAGTGTTGTAGATATTTGAGAATGATTTGGGCTGTTTGCAGGTAACACAGAAGAAGCCAAGGGTTTATGTTAAGTGCAAGGGTTCCATGAAGACTAATAACAGCAAAAGAGTATCCTGATACCATGTATCGTAATAGACCAGATTCTTCACCTTTGGAACTAGGATTTGTACTGTTTCGATTCACTTGCTGTTCATTTTCCGTTTCTGTTGTGGCATGTTCACATGACTGCTTAGATTCTTCCAAGTTAAAATATCTCTTACCGGACTTATGCACTTGTGTATTTGTCTTTACCTTAGAGGCAAAGTTTGAGGTCAATTATACCAAGCTGTTCTTGATAGTATTGCTTAGTCATAATGAAGCTGTAAACCAAGTCTGACGTACGGGCTCGTTTACTGTAGCTGCGTTTTCTTCACAGTTAATGCATTTCAACAGCCTTTTGTAGCAAGCAGCATCATATTACTTCTCATGGCATATGCTGATGGGTTTTTCAAAGTATTAAGTAGAAGAGAGAGATCCTATTAGTGTCACCAGTGGAAAAGCAGAATAATTTGGTTATGGTCAGTTCTCTCTTTGCACACTAAGCAGTATGAAACCCTAACTGGATAGTCAGCGCATGCATCTTTGTGCATCATTTGAAGGACGTGCTGTTCCTTGTCCAGAGGGCAAACCAAACAAAGGCAGGTAGAGGATGTGGGACATGGAAGGAGCTGGGGATATTGCAGTGGAGATAACTGGGTTGAGAGGGTGTATGGCTAGAGTGGGCATCCATAGTATGGGACCAATAGGGGAAGTGGAAGGAAATAACAACGTTGAGGTGAACAGAAGTTGCAAAAGCCAGCACTGCTGCAACCGTTGGTGTTTACAGGATGTAGGACACAAAACTGCAAGAAATCAAGTGGTGAGAACACAACTGTTCAGTGAATAAATGCTTATATTGCTTCTCTATTTGAAACCCCTGAGAAAACGTCTGTAAAAACTAATGGTAATACATACTCCTAGGTCCTGCTGCCTCTCAGGAATTTAAGCATTTTTCAAAAATTACACTCCACTGCCCCTCTTAGGAGGCTGCCTAAGTATCGCAGTCATAAGTCACACCCACAGTCACTGCTAGAGCACAGAACAGACCATGAAGATTGTAACTCTCGTGCCCTGTTCTTCCATGTGCTTCAGCCCTGAAGTTAGTTCTTTTATTCGGGGGTCAATAAAGATAATCACTTCATTTCATTAAAGATACCAAGATATTCATTTCATCAAGATACCGCAATCTTAAAATACGACAATCCGAATCCATATAACGCAAAGGTGCAGTTGAATGTGAGGCGTTGCCTGTACATTGGTTTCAGATCCGTCGCTAGTGTTCGAACGCCATCTAGTGTCGGAAGAGGTTGGTGTGTGCAAATTTGAGTGCATCGTTGTTGGCGTCTCTTTAATCCTCTCTACGAGAGTGATACGCCCACCAAATACAACTCACAAAACAAAGTGCTACAGTGGTAAGGTCTGTGCTTGCACCTAGAAAACTGTAGCTTAATCTTGGAGCAGAGAGTGCTTCAGGGTCATACCTCATCCCAAATAATAGCAAAAAAAAGCACCTTCCTTTATTTGGGGGTAGAATTGAGCCACAGGGGTGCAGCAGTATCTATCTGTACTAAATCAAAAAAAAGAAAAACTGAGGTTACTGATTGCTTTGCTGGATCAATGTACCTAAGAAACTCTCAGAACAAAATACAATAGATCTAGAGCAGAGCTGTTGCAGCTTCTTTTTTTTTTTTTTTTTTTTTTTTTGAATATGTTAAAAGTTTTGGTTTCAATAAGCCCACATTTCTCGGAAAGAAATAGTTCAGCTGAAGGACAAGTGACCGCTGCTGCTTCTACATTTGTCCCCTTTACTGTCTCACAGACAGTGATCTTCTCACCATTTTACTCTAAATCAAAATTTAGCATATTTGCATAGGCCCCCAAAAACAAACACAAAAAAGAAATGAAAAGGTATATTTCAATCTTAGCGTGAGCAGAGCTGCAGAGTTGTGATACTTAACACCTTTATAAAATGAAGGACAAAGTCATGAAAATGGTACAAAAATATAACCATTTTAGACAGCAACGTTTAGTTTTGTTCCTATCACTCATCATGACAGAAGTGTCAAAATTATGAGAAATAGACTCCTTTGGTTGTCCTCACTCATGAACACTGACAGAAGTAGCTGTTTTTATGATGCTGTTTGTTTCCATCATTTATCCCTCACTTTGAAGAGGCATAAATGTGTTGTCCAGGCTGTTTATTGTCACTGCAGGCATGAGTCAGTTGCTTAAACATAGACATAAATTGCCATTTTAGATGTCTTAGTATGCTGAAGACATCCACATAGGGCTACCAGAGATGAGACAGGACTTGCAGGATACCCATGCCCTCCTATAGCAGCAGATGAGGCCCAGTAGAATACCACTGGTCATCTCAAACGAGACCAGATATCTATGTGTGGGCAGCTGAATTGAGCCTTAGGTCTGTATTGATGCCTAATGAACATGGGTGCCCTTATACATACTTAGACTTCTGTACATACAAGTAGGCATGTTAACATCAAATTAAATCCTGCCCTAAAGTTCTCCTGGCTAAGCTTCAGCCAGATTTTGGGTCTTTTCGCCTCAAGGCTGAGCTGGGAGGAGGGTACGATAAGAAGTAATTGAGAATTGTGTCAAAATAGGTGAACAGTTTTTAACTAAAAGAATGAGAAAATGTTTAGAGGATATAGAAATGCTGTATTTTGGATTCTTTCATGTTACTTAAGCCAATGACAAAATAGGTGTTTGGTCTAAGTCAGTCTAGGCTCCCTCTGCCGTTGATCACAAAGGCAACCTTTGACTGGATTTCCAGCTTCGATGGCTTAAGTTGTTCAAGATGAACATTGCCATTTCTTTCTGCATTTCCAAAATAAGACTCTGACTTTTTATTGCAAAATGGAATATTTTATTTAACTTTGACCCAGAAAACAAGAAAAGCTGTTAAATAACCTCAGCACAAAGTCAAATATTGTGAAGTGAAAGATAGATTGCTTCAGCTGGTTATAACAAGAAACCTGTGCTTCCTATTCTACCCTGCAATAAGTGATTGTTGAGCTGGGGAGAGCTGGGGCTTAGCTGGCTATGTGACCCTCCTCTTTCTTTGCACATTTGGCTCCTATATAAGCATTTAGTTTTCTAAAGGAAGGTTTTTTTATTTTCTTTCCCTTATCTAGATCTGCTGTCATTTTATAATCTTCTTCAGCGTGCTCACTGCCAATTTGTGGTATCTTCCTGTTCCTGGATATCTCTCCCACGCCCCTCAGCACTGGCATGCAGACACCACATCCTGCTCCAAAAGAATCAAAGAAACCACACAAGTCTAATCTTCATTGCAGAACTAAATCATCCCTCCTTGTAATCCCTGGATAGTCACACCTGCCAGCAGCATCTTGGTTGCATCTCCTAATCTCATGCTCCCCTTCATATGAGAAAGAGGTTTTTTCCTAATAAAAAGAATGCAGAACATGCAGCAATGAAAATTTCTCACCCGAGCTGCTCTGCAAAGCATCCTAATGCAGCCGTGCAGATTCTCTTTACTTTCTCCCTTTCCCCTCATTATTAACTCTTTCTTTGGGTTGCCCCCTAGAGGGTCCAAAGTCTATCAGTTTTGATATGTCCGTGCTGTCCTAACCTTGAAATATTCACTTTGCATTACCATAGCCCTTAGTCCTGCCTAGTGACACCAGCACAGTGTCTCAGCCCTCTCTTGGGCAGAGAATATTTTAAACACCAGTGTTGTATTACATAATTCACAAAAGGAACCACAAATACACTTGGCATCTACAGCAGGACTCTCAAGACAGTAGCCTAGGATCCAAGAAATCTTTGTGCAGTCTGATCTATTTAAGCTCTGTCCCTGAAAATCAGATTAGATATCCCTCCTGTGTTATTCATCTGTCCTGGGAGTGCTTGGCTCAGACTAACACAAATGGGCTGTTCTAGGCTTTCCTGGCAAGTACATAGGAGTAAACTACAACTTCCTTCAAAATCCACAGACCTAGGCTATGTTTTATAGTGGATTATGCAACTAGGCAAATTGGAGATGAGCTACACGAGCCATTTCCTGGCAAAATGGGTTGGATGCTTACTAGGGCCCTTTGTTTCTCATACCATTACTCTGGAAGGTCTCAGTGAGGGCAGCAGATGGTGTTCTTTCTTCCTTCCACACACTCCCACCAACGGTGTAGCGCATGAAACACAGCCCCAGTCCAGAATCGCTCAGCTGGAGAGCCTATACATTGCTGCTGCTACCACAGGAGCCCTCTTTATGTGCTCCAGTAGCGTCCTCTTAAAGCCATGGGACTGAGACTCATCAACCCGTTCCCAACACACTCGCCAACAATCATCACAACAGACAGTGGGGTGGCACACTTAGTGTCCATTTCAGCATTTGCAAGGCAAGTTAGTCAGAAGAACCCCTTTTCCTTTGTGAGCAGTGCCAGCCAGCATTCACCTGCTCATGGAATTACTGGGTAGGAGGTAAATGCTTTGCTGCTTTTTTTTTTTGGATGCACAGCACAAAACAGCTCTTAAAAATTTTGTGGGATGGGTGTGGGGGTGGCCTAGCACCTGTCTCACTGGGGTAGGGTGCCAGGATATATTATATAATAAGTGCTGATTTTCCCCACATGTCAAATTGGATGTAGGAGAGCAGTCGGTTTCCACTCCTCCTTTCTGGCAACAGGCCCAGCCTTATACATTTCCATATACGCTGGGCCCCTCATACCAGGACAGCTATCCATATGGGATCAGCAAGACACAGAAACTGTGCTGGTGCTGAGGATGGTGGTGATTCTGTTCTCAAGGATCAAAGATATGCTCCTACTCTTGTTCATCCCATGCCTTTGTTCTGGTCAGTCTGCACCTCCATTGCTGCGTTTCTCCAGCTTCCTGGATCCTTCTAACATGGTCTACCTCCGCTGGGACCACAATGAACAGGAGTTGATGACCTTTGAGCTGCAGGTCCTCACGACTGGCTGGGTGGCATTTGGGTTCAGCCCTCATGGAAAGTTGCCTGGATCTGACATTGTGATGGGAGGCATATTTCCTAATGGCAGCATCTATTTCTCTGTAAGTTGAAAAGACTTCCTCTACTTCCCCATTTGCCAGTGTCATGCTGTAAGTATATTAGCTTGAAAGTATATAAGCTCAACTGGCTGAAGATAGACATCTAGGGCCATTTGGGATGCTTAGTCTGTGTGGCCTCCAACTGACAGTGCAGAAGGGCTCAGGTCTTCTGCCATGTCTGCTACTCCCATGGAGATATCTCAGACACCCTAAGGCATCTGAGATATGCCAGATATGCCACCCAGATGGCACGAGAAGTTGTTGTTCAGGCAAATAAACTGAGCCTGTCTACAGGTCAAAACCACATCCAGAAGCAATTAGATATGACTAAAGCAATTACCTACCATGAGACTAGAGGAGGCTCCCAGAAGTATATCTTTTGATTCATCCAAACCGCAGGTCATTTCATCCAGAAGTTTGATTTGAAATGCTCACATTTTTCCTTATCAAATCTCTTGAAAGGCTAGATATAATTCAGGAAAATGAAAACCAATACAATTTGCCCCGTATAGATAATGAGGAGAAAAAATAGTGTTCATCTTCCCCTTGCACTTACTCCCTCAACTGTCATGATTTTGAGAAGGAACCCACAGCCCAAGTGTACATGGTTTGCAGTTTAGCTTTGCAAGGTGAAAGAGGTCTCCTTGGGATTAGCTCTGACTTCAATGCAGTGAGTGAAAGTCCTCCTACCTAAGTATAGATGTCAAAAAGTCAGGTATCTGGTTTAAGGTGGTTTTCTGGTTTTCCTCAGTAGTCAGTTGAGAGATGCATTCACCTCCAAAGGTTGCTTCCTCCTGACTATCTAAAGTGTCTCCATTAGGAATAAGATAGGACACACTTGGGACATGACTCTCTATCTTTCCACTGACTGAAGGCAACAACTAAGGTTAATGTTAAACAGCTGAAGTTTAGGAGGAGAGAATGCCACTGAAGGTGCTGAGTGAGAAATGATTTTGGTCTTTAAATGTGCAGGAGAAACAGGCAGTTTAATATTATCTAGACACAGAAAGAAAAAGAGTTTACACTGATGAAATGTTTGCAGCTTTTTTACAGTGTTTTTAGGTTGTTCTGCGGGTTTTAGTTCCTTATTCAGCACAAAAGCGAAGCAAGTTCTTAGCTGAAAAAATCTCCCTTGGTGCATTTCTAATGTGAGCTAAATATGGAGGGGATGAGGTAGCTAGTCTCACTTATTTTTCATTGGTGGGTTGCAAAACTTCTGTTGTAATATCCAGAGTTTTGAAATCTTTTTGTGATTGTGACATTGGGGGTGACTGAAGCTACAGAAAAAAATACATGCTGAGTTTAGGAGAAACAATTGCTTGTTCTTTATTTTTGACTGACGATCGAAAAAGAGTGATCTAAGGTAAAACTGAAGCATTTAATTTCATCCTAAAGGGAAAAACCTAAAATGAGAAATTGAAGTGTTTGGTTTCAAAATTATTAAAATGAAACATTCCATCATTTTCAGATGAAGCATTTAACAATTTAAATGTTTTTCTGCATTGGTAGCTAAAACTCTTTGGTTAAATTAAAAAATAATTTTTTTTAATCACAAAAGTTCCAGTTTTATTCAACTTTATTATATATCAGAAAATATCTCCAATTTTTCAGGTTTGTAGATATTGAAGCAAGCAAGCACGTTAATGACTACGCAAAACTACATTTGCTTACTAGGCTACACATCACACCTACCGAACCTAAGGTACAGACAGCTTTAAGGGAAAATAAGTTAGTCACTGAAATGGACTCTGCGTGGCATTTTCTGTTTGCACGTCTTCCTTCTGCTGCTTCCTTTGCCCTCCTTGGTTTTTGTTTCAGTCATCCTCTATGCTGCAAACATAACAAAATCATTATCTGAGTAAGGATCAATGGGATCAAAAATGTCTGTTTTCACATAAGTTTTTTTCAGCTTAGCATTTACTGCCTCCCCCTTTCTAATATCTAACATCTAATATCTAATATCTAATTCTAAAGATTTTATTCATCTTTCAAGTAGCT